TGCTGTATCAGCATTTTGGCCACGAATCAAAGAAGAACGAGCTGCTTGTCAAGGTACACCCCAGGCAGAGGCAATTAGGCTAGGGGTGATATTTCAGCAAGAGTAACCCTTTCTGGCGTTAGGGAAAAATATCTTAACAACAGAGTCACTGGAAAGGTTTTAGGAAAAGTGTTACCTGTAAAAGTCATGGCTTAGTTTCTATAGCACAGGTTGAACGATGCACCGGCTATTTTCTCAAATCTGTGCTTTGCAACACGGTCAGGACCATACGTATTTTATTAGCTGTGTGTCCTATCTGCCTCCTGCTTTTACAACACAGATCTTTGCACCAGGCAGTTAAAACCTTTGCTGCTAGCCTGGGCTGTGCAGTTTCACTGGCGGGAGCTTTAGACTGTTTTCTTCAGCGTTGTACTTGGCTGCCATTCTTTCCATGCCCCTGGATATTTTTTTAATCCTTATACGGACTAGTCAGTCATGATTTCATTGATTATTTCAGAGTTGCAGACAACTAAATAGCACAGGTATGTTGCTTTTAATGTGGACCCAAATGCACAGCCCTCACTAGTGTCATGGTGTAGTGGTACCTCTCTGGGGATACACATAAAAAAGCTTTTTGTGCCACAGTTGATAATGACAATTCCCTTAAGTGTCATATTATTAACAGCAAGCAGAATTAACAGCAAGCATTTTTCCTCTTCCCCCCACGTTTGGCTACCTTTGTAGCACTCACTCATTGCACAGTTGTTCTACCACCTTCTAGGAAGGTCTCAAACACACCTGAAATGATGAAGAGCTTCTACAAGAAGAAGAGTGCTACAACCCGAGGCCTGAACTTGGGACTGACTGTACGTCCTCCCACTTGGTTTTTGACAGCAGCATTGTGATCATGTCTTTCTGATGAACACAGCATGTCCTGTGGCCATTCCTCTGCAGGTTATCTGAGTACTGAATAGTGCTGTGATTCAGAAGTAAACGTTACCCTTTTTGTATGTTTGAATTTACCCCTTCTTTTCTCTGGTATCCTTCCCAATGAAACTTCCAGTACATTTCTTCCCTATCGTCATGCCATACAGATTTTCTCCAAGATTTCAAAACGTTCCTCGCCAACAAAACCGTCATGCTGTGTACCCGGCTAGCTTGCAGAGTCATCCTTTTCCTTATCCAGCTTTTCCTTGCTGTTGACCATGCTCATTCCTGTGTCTTGTCTGAGAGAACACTGTATGCCCTTTGGGACAGGGACTGTGTCATTTTTTATTATGTAGTAAGCTTAGTAATGAATCTTCCCAGGTGCAACTGGAAGAAGTATGAAGAGAGAGGAAGAAGAAAGTCAGATAGCTGTTATTACCACCCAAGGAGAAATAGGGCTTTAATTACATGAGTATGTCATGCTTGCCTAGTATTTTACCTCCTCTTCTCCACAGACATTATAATTGGATCAGTCCTAAAAAGTACAAAATTAATGTCAAATGCCTTTTTTATTCAGTAGTTGTCTCAGGGAAGAGCTATTTGGAAGACAAGAAAAAGACAGCCTCAGGGTTCTAGAAAATTTAATAGAATAGGGGTTTCTATGGGCTGGGACAGAACAGCCACGTGAATCGCAGAATTAGCTCTTCCTAGACCATACAACAGGTATTTGTCTAGTGTGATCTTACACAACCTTCCTAGACAATCTGTCACATATTTATTTACCATTAATATTAGTTTTCAGCTTTTTTAACATTAATCTTTCCAGCTTCACCTTAAGTCCATTTCTTCTTGCCTTCTTCCCAGGCAACACAAAGAAGAACAGAAGAATGTTTCCCATCAGCTTTCTCTGTTCCACACTAAGCAAACACACTTCCGTCAGTCTGTCCTGGCAGACTGTGCCTTCCAGCCTGCTGATTGCTTTTGTGGTTCTCTTCTGGACTTTCTTAAAGTGAGGTGCCGGGAACGGGCCAGAGTGCTTTAGCAGAGCCCTTATCAAGGCCACATAAGGTGGAAGGATTACTTCAAGGATTGCTTCAAGCTGCGTTGACATTCCTATTTTTATCGTGAGAACTCAGAACTCAGTGAGTCCTCGTTCCCCCCCCCCACAAATGACAGGACATCTTATGAGAGAACATGTCTCAAGTTCCCAATGTCTTCCACTTTTGCTGTTACAGCAACCATGAGCTTTCTTGTTTGTAATTATGAAAGCTACAGTTCCTCCCATTTTTCATCTTATAAACCCTCTTTAGCAAATACAGCAGTTTCTTCTGGTGAGAATATGTATTTTAGGTGACCATGCAGTCCACAAGCCTCAGCTTGAGACTATTAGGTACAAAAATATTCTGATTCCATCAAGTGAGGAAGTGGGAATCATTCACTATACCTTCTCAGTTGTTGGTCCTAATTTTTAAAGATAAATCAACAACAAGCACAGGAATATTAAATGCACAGGATAATAAACAGACACATCAGTCTAAAAGATTTTCTTTTTTTTTTTCAAGTTGAAGGTCAATCTTCAATAATTTGCAAAGAAAATGAGAGTACAAAAATGCTCCTTTTATTCTACTTTGAATCCTTCCTTAGATAGATTATTCATATTTCCAAATAAAACTAAGCCTGATTTTTCAAACACCATTTCTGTGCACAAATGTTATAGCTCATTCTTTTCATAAGGCATGTTAAACAGATTTCAGTTCAAACATTCAAACATTTTACACTCGTGTGTCATAATTAAAAACACAAATGAAAGGTTCACAAAAACCATGCATGACCTGCAGAACACAATTACATATTAAAGACACTGCAGTGTACACATGCACAGACATGCACATGTGAGTATGTATACGACCATACTAGGAAGATCAAAATAATCTGTTTCGTATGTGACCTTAGTCTTGTAGATAACAAGGATGCATGTTTAACCCAGTACTTATATATTGCTTACACAATAATTGTACTTTCTTCCATTTTCAATGAATGATCATTTTTGCTGCACAGTAAAATTGTGTGTCCTCCAATGAACGGCACAGAGTAATGCCGAAATTCTGAAATACACTAGGAAAGTGTAAGGGACACAATCAAGGAATAGCAAAAGATTGAAATTCCACTGAGTTACAAGAGAGGGTGAATTTGCCTAACGTCATCTACTGCCAACTATGAATTCTTTCTCTTCTTTATCCAAGGGCTGCTTTGTATACAATTTCAAATGGTCATTCTGAAATTTATTTTAGTGTCTCAATTTCTCGTATATCAGAAGAAAACGTATTTTATGTGTATATACGTATCAGAAGAAAGTCCTATCTGCATGTTGTATTGGAACTGTGGAAACACAACAAAGTTAGTTTGTTTCTATTTAAAATCTGAGCTAAGGTAAATCTTAAAAACTCACCCACGGTTGGCAAATAATTTCAGTAGAAGGAGTGTTGTTTCAGGCTAGCTGTACAAATCCTCTTGTGCAGCCAAGGAATGGGGAACAAATTAAGTGGCATAACACCTTGTGTGGGAAAATTACATTTCAAAAATCCTGTTTTGTAAGAAGGCAAAGATTTCAGCAGGTCCTTTACCTAAAAGTGTGTGTGTCTTCTACCCTGGTTGTATTATTTCCTGCACTTGGGCCATTTATATTTTAAAGATCCTAGCTGAAGAACAAACCCTGTAGATGAGACGCTTCACTCCTAGAAAGGCCTCCTGGAGTGAAGATGTCTGGATGATTCTTCGAGCTTGCTTCGTGCCTTAAAACCAGCAGAGGAAACTATTTTTAGGACTTTTAAGTTGTCTTAAGCAGTATAGACTAGACTTGGTTACCCTTAGTTATACTGAGTGGTATATTATTTCATAAACAAACTGGTTGTTTCAACTACTGGTTGTCTCTAGTACAGGCAGAGCAAAGAAAACATAAATATAACCCTATGTAAGCGCACAGGCAGAACTCACGTCTCCACCACACAATCTTAGTTCTGTTGAGGTCATTGGGAACTTATGCTTGAAGAACTAACAAGCTATCGAAGACATAATGTAATGCCTTTTCACTTATCTCTTAAGAAATAAGAACAGTAATATGCTACATGAAAAGAGTTTATAAGGTTGCTTGTAACTAGGTATGGCTCATAACACAAAAGTCAGATCAATCTTTGAATGCCCTAAAGTTACGGTTCAGGATATAAACTGGTTCCTTGGATCTCGAACTAGCTCAGACAAGTTGTCATGAGCAGATACAGGGGTCAACCAGAGCAGGCAACTTTCATGACTCCACAACTGCCATTCTGATGAGGGACATGGCAGCATGACCAAGGTCTGCAGTATTGCACAGATAATTACGCACCAACGCCATCCCCTGCTAACCATCCTGCCACATCTCATGCTCTGAATATAAGACTCAAAAGTCAGACTCCCTGCTGACTGCTCACATGCAACGAGAGCTATTTCTCATATCTTTTTAGGATGCAGCTTTGCAGTCTTCCGCCTGCTGTGTGACCCAAGATGCCAGATGCATCTGGTCAGCGCATCATCACGAAATAATTTCTTAGCTCGTAAATCTCATTGTTCGAACTCCTCTGTCTTTGCATCTATTCACCCTAACTTCGTATCCATCCAAGACAACTATCTGTGGAACAGCTTCTTAAGTAATGGCAAGCAATGAAACTTCCCTTTTGCCCGCTTTCAAAATCCAAGGCACCCTTGCACAAAGCAGCATCACTGATCACTTTCCACAGGTTTTCTGTATCACACTGTTTTATACTGTACTGTCTCTGCCAGTAAATCCTTTGAAACAGAAGTGGGTTGCAAGTTTGGCACAGCTCTGAAAAGGTTCACTTTCTGCTCTGCATAAATAATGCAGAATCTTGAATGTGTGCTTTCAATTAGATTAGTGCATGGTCAAAAACAATGGCTATCCATTTCTAAATTAATATTGCTGAGCTGCTGCAGCTGCTGTTTATTGTTAGAGTGAGTCAAGTCCCTTCCTGTCCTCTAATGTTGCAAGCAAGTTGGCAGAGAGCCACAAGTTGGAAGGATAAATGCAGACAGCATGTTTTACCTACATAACATTATTTTCAGTATTTGTTAGCTCTTCTATGTAAATACGCAGCACAAGATCACTTACGAGATAACACACTGAAGAGAGCTTAACACAGGATCTTTGTCCTTTTTTAGAACATCTAAAAATAACTATTTGTTAAAAATACATATCCTAATATATGCAAAAATCTCTCACTGCCTCTGTATTTTGCTTTGTCTTTGTGTTGGAATAATAGAAAACAATTACTAACCTAAACAATTCCTGACTGCATAGAGTTGTTGTACTCCAAGTAAAGTATTAAGTACTTATATACCTAGCAGCAAGTTATTAAAATCATCCTAATATGGAATAAATTAGGATTCAGTCCCACAACGCTATTTATACTTATTTGCCTAAGTGTAAAAAAGACTTCCCGCAGTTCATATACAGATTTTCTTCCCATTCTCATTTGTTATGAACAGTGTTTGAGTAGTTATTTTAAATGGTCCTCAAAGGATGCTCATGTGCTTGATGGGGGAGGCAAATAAGTTTACCTTTTATCTTCATAAAAGTATAAGCTCACAGAGAATATGTATTATTACTTCTATATAAAGAAGCAATATGCTAAATTCACTGCTGGACTTTACGACACTGAACATTTATATTCCTTTTAGCTGTATATTTATGATAAACATGGAGTGCTATGATACAGGATGCATATAATGCAATTAAATACATGTTCTGCCCACCAAATCAACTGTGTCTAATCAAATAAAGTTAAATTTTGGAGCTATCATCAGTGGAGCATTGTTTTAAGAAGCATGGTTATTGTCAGGTAAAGGTGAGCGACCACTATTTTCCAGAGTCTAGTGAAGTGTCTCTGGGTCTCAAAATAGTTAAAGGGCCTAAAAAAGAGAGTAGCCAGAACTCTACCTGTCAGCTAACACAGTGAAGTTCAAGTAAGACCGGAATATGTAAGCTATTATTTTTAAGACATAAATTCTGTCAACATAGAAAGTAAATTAAAACTAAGTATTTAAAAGATTAATCTATAAAAAGGCTAGTATATGATGTAACTATATATAACTGATATATATAGCTTAAAAGAGATATAATGGAAGCCATCCATGTGTCTTTATTTCTGAGATATCTGGGTTTGAGTTTTATTGAAGTGAAGCTCTTTAAATGAACTCTGTAGATTTGAGTGTACCTACTTCAAACTCCTTATGACTAAAAACGCTGATTCATTTTTTCATTTCCTGCTTTAAATTAAGATGAACAACACCTCTCATCCTAATAGCAATGCAGAACAAGACATCTATAAGTAGAGAACATAGCACTTTGTAAAAACAAATGGCACAAATTTTGGCATATATCCGTGTAGTGCCACTGCATTAGAAAAGTGACACCTGAACCTCGCAGGCTGTTTGCAGCTGTTTTCTGCAGGACACGTTTCTGAAGGCACTCGGCAGCAGCTGCCCACTGTCATCTTGCGATCTTCAGGCGCTACGTGACTGATCACATTTAAAGTGCAGCGAAGTATTGGTAGGTCCATCCTCACTTTCGCTTTACTTCATTAATTGACACAATTCTTTGCTATCCTTCTGTCGCTTTGTCTGATGCTCTTTGTAACATTAATGGTGACTTCTTTTGTGGGCATTATCTTTGTGTCCCGTTTACTCTGTGAAAGCGTTAAACAATACAATGAGTTCCACATCAAGACAGGACAAAAAGTCATCGGCAATTACCTCATCATTTATGGAAACAGTTCAATTTAATAAGCACAAAGACCTGAGTAGTCTTCACACACCACTGTGATGTAGAGCAACTGTCTCATTCAGCCTGGATGTAAGCTTCTATGCCTGCTTTAAAGGCTATGGACATAAGCAGGCCTTGGATCAACGCTTTTGGCTATCATAAAGATTTCTGCACGTGTGTCTTTCAAAAGCAAAACAAATAAATCTGGCTTCAGTCCAGAAGTGGAACTTAATGGTTTCCTTCGATGTCACTGGAAACTGAGTGTGACTGCCCTGAAACAGAACCCTGCTTTCTTGCAGGTTTCTTAAATGAAAATACAGTTTTGAAATAGCACTTAGTTCCGCTTGCATATAAGACCTCGGTACAATATATACCTTCCAGATCTTCATCAATTAATTTCCAAATATCCAGAATATTCAGTCTCCCTGAGATATGAAAGTGCATCCTTAATTTAAATTTGTCCTTCTTCATCTCCTAGTTTGTCTGCTTGTTGCCATAAGCAACACATTCTAATATGCAGTAAATTGGATAGGTCTAGCAGAGCACACTTATAATTGGGCTGATATAAACACAGAGTTGGGTTAGGTGTTTTTGATCATTGCATCTTAAATGTTCTTGAGACTGTTTGTAAATGTGAATAATGCCAGGTAAACTAGGCATAATTCGCCTGGTAAATAATGCTAGGTAAACATCCGCTGACATCAGCAGAAGCTACACTTATTTATCTGGGGTCAACAACCGGGAATCACATTTGCCAGTGTGCATTACTTCACATTTCTGCAAACTGCGTTACATCTTCTCCCTTACTATCTAGTCCCCCAGTGTTCATGCCCACTCAGTGTTTCTCCAAAGACTACATACATCATGAAAATCAAACTCGGTTATTGTCACTCCATTGCAGTAAATAATCCGGATATCACCTTCGCTCTTGACTACTATAGTGCCTTCACTGTTATTAGTTTTCATCATCAACGTCTTTTGCATCCAAGTCGTTTTCCCATTACCCTCATGAGAGGATACTAGGAGGCAGATTTCCCAGGTGCCGCCTCGTGTCAAACCCTTTCCCATTCAACACCAAAGATTGTACCCAATGCTATGGTAAAGTAGCAGGATGCTCGAAAGCTTAAAGCCTGAGAAAATGAGACACAGAGACACAAAGCAATTTACCCCAAACCACCCCACAGGCCAATAATAGCAGCCAAGTCTCCAGAGCTCAACGTGTATTACCTCACGTGGTTGTCTACAGCATCTAGAGATAAAAGACAAACTGTAGTCAATGAGAATATTCAGATGAATAAAATATGCACATTTTGAGTTGTGGGAGGACAGTCACATTCTCTTCTCTCTAGGCATGTAAACTTTAGCTGTCCAAACTAGAAACCCGTTCATCTTATGCTTCCCTAAATAGTCAATGGAGAAACAGAGATTCAGAATGGTAAATCGGAGCTGGAACCTAACACAGATACTACAACTTGCCCACTGTAGGAACCTAGATTTCTTTTTTGACTCTAATAAATTCAGACAAAAGTACCTTCCTTTCTTTAGATACCTGCATTTAAGTGCACAGAATAATATAAATACCCTGCTTAGAATCAGAAATGTTCTCTGCACACTTAGCTGTAACAGTACAAATATATGCTCGAATGTATCTTAGCTAGAAGAAGCCATAGGCTACAACCGCAGCCATAGGACCCAAGTCAGTAACCCATACTTCACTGGGTAGTCTCATTGCGGTCAACATTCACTCATTAATATGTTGCAGGAATTTGCCCATATTTCCCATTAAGTCTTAATGCAGAAGCAACTTTTCAATAGCTTGCAAAATTAAAAAAAGAAAAATCTTCTCCAACAATATGTCAGATATACAACATAATTCTCAAGTGTTGCCAAGTGTCTCACAAATTGGATTAATAATTATGTTAGTTCTGTTCAATCATATTCAATCTGACCAATTATTTTTTCTCTATGGGCTACTGGTTATGACAGGCATTCATGTTTTTCATTTACAGCAAACCTCCTGTGGCTCTAGATGTCATGCAAATGCAGAATGTGTACCTGTACTTCTGCAGCTGCAATATCTACTGCAAACATACAGCACAATCTATGTCACTGGGGAATACTTCCATACTTCAGGGGTACTGAAGGGAAGATATTATACAATGAAGGTTTAAGACTAACACATAGGTACCAATGTGCTTGCTGTTAGCAAATGCAAGGTAAAATTTGATCCACGTTCCCGTTTGCATTTGCTTAGTCCCTCTAGGCTTAAATTTCCCTTGCTCAAGGATCTGATTCACAAGAGGGGACACCGAGCTTATTATGGGATGGTTGTAGAAGTTCCTGTCCCCACTATCCATGACACTCCGTTCTGTGAGATTCTTGGCCTCTGAGAAACTGAGAAAGTGGTAAACCAGCTGTGATTTTTGGATTACTTTAATCTGCAGCAGTTGAGCAGTTGCTACATGAACAGCGCAGCAGTGGAAACCCATGAGAAATAAGCAGGGTAGACAGCTAGGAGAGGAGATATCTGGCACCAAACTCTTATTTTTTCATACATTACTGTTACATTGGATGAATCTTCTACAAAGTATAGAGTAGGTGAGGGGGAGGAGGACAGAGGATCCGATCCAGGCCTGCTGAAGTTACTGAAAAGACTCCCATTGACTTTCTTAGGCTTTGCATTCAGCCTTGAATGAACCAGGGTTCATGCAGCGAATACAACTCAAGCAAAGCATTAATTAAGGAAAAGCATATTCTCTTTCAGATTATTAATCTAAACAGCTTGCACAATACGTGACATAGTTTGATTGAGTTGAAAAACAGACAGTGTAGGGGTTTTCGCTGTGATAGGCATGTGAGTTACTCCAGCTGCTGAATAAAACATCAATTCTGTGGCCACTCAGGCGTGACACTGTCAGAGGTGCTAGACTTAATCATGCTGTGGCTGCGCTGCGACTATTCTATCTTATCCCCAAGTATCTAATAGAGTTTGACTGCAGAAAGGAATATTGTCACAGAAATAATTTTGATCTGGTTGAAGCTAGTCCTGAGCATCATGGAACATAATTACAGTCCTACCTCTGCTGTTCGGAAGCTGTTCGGCCTCTGTGCCACAGCTCCAGTGCCGGGAACTGTGGAGTTGGCACACTGAGGACCACAGTTGGGTTTTTTCTCGGTGTTCAGAATTCCAGTTGTGGTTGATGCTGTAGTCACACCTGTCTGAGCTGATTTTCCATCCTCTAAAATACCTAGAAGGGATATACGAAATCATGTAATTACTACTACGTAGTAGCTTATAACCGTGGCTATGGTTTCCTCCTATTTTACCACTTTTTCGTAATAACGCAAGTCATGAAAGGTGCTTGATGGTGCTACAGTGAGAGCCTTCTGCCTCCTTTTGTAACCTTTCTCCTTACATTTTCATTATTTGTTCTTTCTCCCGTATTCCCTCTTCTGTGAAACGGTGGCTCAGAAAACAAGGAAAACTCTTTAATATGAGTGCAGCATGTTAGTAGCCCTTTGTTCAACTGCAGATCCCTGCTGGCTGCTGCTTGTGGAGTTTCCACACACAGAGCTGCTTGCATGAGTGAGGGCTTAACTAAGGACTCAGGGGCAGGCACAAAAAGGAGCTTCCCTTAAATCTGTTTCAGTTATGCTAAACGTAGGGGTTAGAGCTGAGGTGAGACCAATACGGATGGAGAGATGGCTTTATTTATGGCCTTGAACATTTGCTTAAGCAGAAGTTGAGGAAAGAATTTGGAAAAAATAGATTTTATACTGTTTTAGCTATCAATAATCAAGTAAGTGATTAATTAGTATTTGCTTTCCGCTCTAGCTGCATGGATAAGGCATGTACAATACAAATATGATGTTGACCAGCCTAAAAATTTACTCATCTTATTACATTGACAAAAATGAGTTGTCATTTATGGTGAGCCCAGAAGACATCTGGTTGCAACACCAGGTCTGAAATCCAAATAGGGATGGATGGCGGATGCATCGCTGTAGCTCTCCATTTTTTTAGCAAAGCTCATTTATAAAGAGCTTTATGGTCTAACAGAAAAAAAACCCAGATAGATCTACTAACAAACTGGCAATGCAAGCATCAAAACTGCAAGAAGCAAGTATTGACCAATATTAAAGGAAAAATAAGAGTGAGGAAGAACAATGACAATTTATTGCTACTTGAAATGCGCATTGCATCATCAAATCCACTTGCCATGAGGCAGAAGGGAATTTAAGTGCAGCATTAAGAATATTAAAAATGAAACAGAAGAAGTCCTGAATTCTGTCCCAGAAGTCTGTAAGAAAAGTTGCTTTATCAATAGAAAGAAACACCAGTAGCAGCTTGCTAAAGACAATGACTGAAAGCAACAAAGCTAATCGAAACAGCATGTCAAAACAGCTGTTCCAGATATAGTAAAAGGAATCAACCGAATGTTCAAGTTCTTGTTACTCAAAATGTGTAAGGTCATGTCAGATTTAAGAAGTCTAAATAAAACTTGTCACTGCATTTCCCTAAGCAGTCAGAAGATGGTGTTAAGAGTTTTCATAAGCCAGTTTACCTTGTGTTGCTGATCACCAAAAATAATAGGAAAGTATCTACTTCTTGATAGAGAAAAGATCATTTTGAAACTTTAAAATATTGTACTATATTTTAAGTAAAAAACCTAAAAAGTACTTGAGTCTTTGGAAACTACCTTTTTCTTCCAGATAATAAAACTAATGTTCTCATGCCTGAAGCTACAAGTAACTTCCCATAAGGCAACAGTAAACCTCACCTCTCCTGCATCTCCAGAAAGTCCATACCTACTCGTATTTCAGATCTTCTGCATTCCTACCACTCCCCAGAGCAAGATGAGAGGTGGAAAAGTGACTTGGTGCAGAGCAATACATTTTATAGACTGATATCACACACAAAATCAATTTTCAGGAAGGGAGATGGAGAGGTAATTAGTTATGTATGAATAATAACTCTAAACCTACTACGTAGTCACCGCACAGTCTACTTATTCACTTTGCAGCGGAGCTGTGTGAGCAAGTTTGAGAAATGCTTTGAACAGGCAAAATGCTCTAGGCATTATATACTAATTCCATTAATTGAATCGCGGACATTTTAAACTTACATGAATTATGAGATTTTCCTTCTGTGGAGTCATTCTTCTAAATTACTTTCTACCATGCGCCCTTTTGGCCATCTGGCCTGTAACTAAGCCATCTTGTGAAACAGCTGTCAGCTGAAAAGCAGCTTTGTTATAAAGCACAAGTGTTCATTATCAGATGATTGTGTTGCTCTTACAGTCTCTCGTAGAACAATTTTCTTCACATCAATACGTTTCCATAAGCTGATGGAAAAATCTCAATCCTGAAAATGGTTTATCTGGTTCATTTTTTCACCTCTGTTAGTTTGCAGCTTGAGCGTCATTCATTGCAAGAAAGAGACCTTTTCCCCAGTACTTGTCAGAAATGAACCAGATATCAGCAGAATGAAGCAGATATCTGAGCTTTCCAGCATCGCTCCCAGTATATCTTTCTACAGTTGATCTAGTGATCACCAACACTAGGGTTCCTCAGCAGTGCAAAAGGCTTGGTTATCTTAAACTGACCTTATCATGTTCGCTATTCGGAAGCTAAGAAACTCTTTTAGAATTGTTTCATTAGCAAATAGATGATTTACAGGGTAGGCAACAGTTTAGACTTCAATAACTTGCTCTTTAGATACGAGCACTGAGAAGAAAACACAGTGAGAACGCATGAGCAGTGGAAGTGAGAGCACAAAATTTGTTGGCAATTCATAAAGTGAAACATATTTTATGGACTGGATGTATAACAAAAATGCTGTTTACAAAACAAAGATGATAATAGAGAAAAGGTCAGGAACAGATCTGTGGCTTTTTAGATGGCAAATATTTTGCATTGCTATTTGGGGTTTGCCATAGTACACAAAAATGGAACAGTTACATTTTTTTAAGTTTTTGCGACCCGGAAGCTGCGAGCTAGCAGGGTGGCAACTCTCCGAATCTTGTCTCAGTGCCGTTCACACCAGGCTATCTTTCTGGATGTGTGCATCGTCCTCACAGCATGGGTTCGGTAACCGTCCTCCTCTGTCTTCCGCTGTCTAAATTTGCAGAGAGCTTCAGCAGAAATTTAAACAAATGGGTTCAGTAACATTGCTCTCACTCTCGTTTTCCAGCTCCCTGCCAGGACAACCCCTGCCAAAAGTGTGTGGGCCTCATGAGGCCAGGAAAAATAGTATGTCTCATTACAATGCTCTGTCAAATTCATATATTTTATTTTCAAATGAACTTGCAAGCCTAGAACATTCTTACGGCTCCAGTCCCCCAGTGAGAGTTTCTGAGTGATTATCAAACCTTCGCCAAGGTAAGGGTGACCTTTCTGTCAGGAATGGTTAGTTGGTGCTTCAGGGCTTGCCAGACTGTTCCCATCAGGGGGAGAAATGGGTGATAAGACATGTACTTCACTGCATGTAATTGCGTTTATTTCTGAAGAACGTACATGAGTTCTCGTTCAATGGACGCAGGAAGAATACGCAACCGTGAGCAGCGCCGTTGCTCAGAAATCCAGGTCTATCTTTCCAGTGAGAACCGCGCAAAACAATTTGCTCTGGGCTTCTCCCACTGCAACGCTGCCTGCCCTCTTCCTTTCTACCAGCTTTCCAGCCTGCACGGGCAACTGTGACTCTTGCCTTTCCTACCAGTCCAATGGAAATCCTTTACGCTGTAGTGTGACAAACATTTCTTTCAGCAGCACGAGGGAAAAAAAGGTTATTTTTAATTCAGATCAATCCCTCGACTTTATTCATCATCCAACGACGCAAGCAGTTTTACTGGCACAACTCAGAAGGTAGCTCAAGAATGGAAACAAGCAGCCTGCGTTGGTGCAACTACCAAAAAACCAAAATAAACTCACTCATCCTTCTACACTCTTTCTTCTCACTAAGTTGACTGCTGAGCTATCTAAATCCTCTGAAGGTGCATTCACATTGCTTCCAACTATCCCTTCGTCAGGAGACATTTATTTGTTCCATCCTTCTAGCCTAGATCCACCAAAGATTCCTGTCGCATTACAGAGTAACATTGATGTCCCAAAGATTTCTACAGAAGTTTCTGGTCCAGGCTACAATGTGATGTGACTGACTGATTACATAGACATCTACACAAATAAATTTTTCTCTAAAACCTCTTTCACTAGGAAGTCTGATGATTTAGATCAAACAGTGCTAGTCTCAAATAAACTTTCATGTTGTGTATTTTCAAATTCAAAAACTTCAGTAGATTTTGAAAAAACAGATTGGCTCAAGTACTTTTTTCCGCTAAAAAGCTGGCATGAAATTAGCGCCTTTTGTTCAAACTTCCCAAAATATGGACGTTTGGAAAATGGAATACAGATAAAAATCAATTCTGCTTACTGAATTTTACAAATCAAAACTAAAATCTGTCCATAGGAGAGCTGGGTATGTTTCAACTGTTCCACAATTTAGAGGGATATTTCAGGACAGTTTTGTAATTGTACTAGTATGTATTGAATAGAAAGTTGCCTAACATGAAAACTATCTCAATGTAAGCATGAAACCCAGCAAGATACGACAAATCTGTCTGATATATATATCACATGTGAAGAATAGGCATATTAAAGGTAATATAAACTCCTAGAAGAGCACAAAATGATCAGAACATGAAAATTCTGACGACTAGCATAAAAATAAAGTCATCAGTATTTTTAAATCGCTCACAAAACCAGAATAAAATTAGCTCTCCAAGAACTGCTGCTACTCATAATGAACAGTTTATCATGATGCTGAATACTTAGACTCCCAGTAGGACACCAAGTCCAAGTTTTTCCAGTCTTCCTGGGATACTCTCCTACTCTCTTCACTGTGAAAAATCCGGTGTGTCCAAGCAAACACCAAACCCGATTTTAGCAGGCAGATCACGAACCCTTCTATGATTTAGTTACCTTAATTCTAACCCTGCTCTAAAACTGCCTTTATTAATTAACCATAGTTGTTATTGTGAAGATTCTTTGTTTTACAGACTACAAAGCAGTATATTAATCACTGGTAGGACACTACTATTTTTAAAAGGACAGAAGAGTTTTTCATAACGAAGCAATACAGTAAACAATACTGTTCAAAGACATGTTTCAATTCTCAAATGACACTTAAAAGTCCCATGTAAATTCACTAATGTGTTCAGGGGGGAAATCTGTCCAGGATGCTCCTCTTCTCTGCTGGCTATACCAAACATCTGTCCTAACATCTCCCTCTCAACTTCTTCCTCTCAACCTCACTGCTCCAAGAGCAACATTTACCAAATCCCATCTCCCACCATGTTCTCTGAGCCCTCTTTTGTCTATAATCCTCAGTATTTTTAAAAGTTTAATGAGTTCTTAGACATTCCCAGACAGCAGCATTCCACAAATGTGATCAGTGAAAATAAGATACAATGTACAAATAGGATTCATTTTCATATAATCAGAAAACGGATTATGTAATACTGAGGCCATTCCTGAAATATTTCTTTTCAATAAGCATTAGATACTTAAAAGCAATTTGTGCATAATAGTAAAGTACGTAAGTTCTTAATGCCTCAGGCGTTTTGTAGTTTAGGAGTTATATATTTAAATTTATACTCTGAAAAGTTGCTCACGTACTTGCAAGCTAATGCCTACTCAAAATAAAGTGTGCTTAAATCATATTTTGTAACTCTCGGAAATCATTTAAATGGGGAGGAAACAGTCTAAGAAAGATTTTAAAATAATCATTTTAGTAAATAAGGGTGTTCATCACAGAGAAATCAAAGAAAATCTAAAACGTGGAATGAAAATTTAAGACATGCATTTCTGATTTCTTCTATCATGACGATAACATTAGTGATAACAAAATCAAGGATAAGCAATATATAAAGGTAGCTGTCGTTCTTCATACAGCCTAGTCATGCCTAAGAATTAATGCACAATGGATACTTAATGAGAGTATCTCCTAAATATCAGAGGGAATTTTTACTCTTAAAATTTAACTCTTTCTAACCAGGTTTTTTAGTATGGCAATAGGGATGACGTGAAGAGCGGGGAAAATCTGACATAATTAATTCAGATTGTGAAACAAACACTGGAGTAAAAAGCAAAATAGTGTCATGATTCATCAACTGACTCGGAGGCAGGAAAAAAGAGAACAACTACAGGGCTGATTTTCTGTATGGCAAAAGATGAAGATATAAGTTCCTCGAGGCTTTTTGATAGATCTAACACTCTTTAGCATATATTTGCTAACGATCCAGACAGGGAGACAAATAATGAGATAACAGCATTTACAAATAGCCCTTAATTATCAGGACTACAGGGAACTTCTCAAAACACAGAGGGCCTGAAGGTATGACTGCCTGCATCTGTTTGCACAGACATAGCTAAAAGAACAAGATCTTAGTAAGATCCAAGATGAGTTGAAAATTTATGTGACTAACAAAAATAACAAACGCTACAATAGCTAATGGTATCAAGAAATGTGGAAGGGTAATAACAGAGCCTCGTAATTCAGAGATTAAGTCTTACCCATAATAATCAGACCTTTGTGGAGAAAATTATTCCACATGTGCTTGCCACAATATTTTCAAACCCGATATTAAAGTGCCAGGTAGTGGCCAAAACGCGCCATGAATTCTGACCCAAAGAGTCTACAGGAACCTGTGCTATCCCACGGGATAGTATTGAATAATAGGCATATATTTGTTCACAGTGAGTAAATGTTGATTAGTATGCCATATTTATATCTTTGGAATTGACCACAGACAAATCAGTAAGGGTCAATTTTCTCGTTTAGCCCTTTCTATTTATCACGGCTGTTATCTCATGAATAATGCGTAACATACGTAAAATGCCTGCATAATAAGATACTGTGGCACAGTGCACGGTAAAGATGAACTCCGAGAAAATTCACGGCAAAGAAAAATGAACAATGCTATTACAACACACAGTTGCTTCCAGAGAAAATGCGTATTTGTTACCATCACTGAATTCATTGCTTTTAACATTAAGTACACAGAGCACTGAAATAACTGTCTTCTATACCTGCTTCCCTGACTGGAAGCCGCTCATGTTTGGGAAAACCACACATCTGCAGGACTGAGTACTGGCATGTACTCCTACTGCATAAATGAAACACAGGATGGATTTATTAAAAATAAGGGGAGTAGAGGTTGGGAAGAAAGGAAACTTTAAGTCATTTCCTCCTATGCAGAGGCCAGATGGTCAGGAAAAGTCAGGAAACCCAACAAGGAAGGGTTTAGGATTTTTCAGTCATAGCAAAGAGTGAGTTTGTAAGCCAGGATGAAGGATCCAGCAGGTCTGCAGAGGGAGGACCTGTTGCAGCACGAAAATATCATCAGAAAGAGTTTTCATACTTCTGGATCTTCCTATTGCCCAGCCATTTGGAGAATCCAGAATGATTTATCTGAACTCTAATGTGATATGGATTTTAGATGGTGAAGCAAAACAAACCACTTATTTGCATCTTCTGCATGTTCTATCCTGGCCACTGAAATTCCTTGGAGTCTCTTTTTAGAGATCTCCACAAAAGTGCTTCTCCTGCCTGCTGGGGAAAAGGCACTGTGCTGGGAAGGAGACCTCTTTTCCTGTCCTGAAGTCCTCCATGCGTTGGCTGGGCAGAAGTGACTTCAACCAGGTAGCATTCAGCAACGCCCCCAGAGTGCCACAGTCCTCAGGAGAGCAGAAGGAAACCGTGTGCCTTACTTGTGTATGAAAAGTGATACCAAGGTGAGACTACTCACCACCCTACTGTGCTATCAACCATTGAATGTTTATGGGAATTCAGCTGATCCAAGGAGTACGAACAGCCTCTTCCTTTTCTGTTTAGAAAGCATCTACTTCACTTTCAGCACTGAAGTAAGTAGGTAATAAAGAAGAGTAATATGAAGCAGTCTATATTTACGCAAGATAGCAGGGCTTGTATAATAGCTGATAAATAGCAAAAGGCAAATCAAACTCTTAGATCCTGCTCTTGCCACTAGACTCAGGTAGATAGGCCTCTGTGTCCTGTCAGGTTCAGGAGACATGCAATTCTCTTCTGGAAGATGAAGGTATAAGTGTCCAATTGAATACTGGAAAAACTGGCTCTTGATGGATATGCTCAATAAATATAAATGACTATAGGAATTTTGGAGTCCTGGCAAAACTGGGAGACCAAGCACTATATCTTCCAACTTTTTGGGTTGGCATGCTTGCTTATTTTCCTGCCTTCTGTCACTTCATTTCTGAGCGTAAGACAAATGAGATTCTGATATCCTTGTATATTTCAAAACTTCTCTTCCCATGGCTAGTATGAAATGAGGCAAGATGGTCTAATATATGATAGGCTAAAGGAATTTCTAAAAGATGCTAGAACTGGAATTTAACATGCATCTGGGTAAATAAGCACATGATAAGTAGTGCTGAAAATCAGATCTCATTTATTACTGCATTATTAAGACTTCTACTAGAGAGTATTCAAGCACTAGCCAGACAAGTAAAATGCAAAAAGGACACTGTTAAAGCTGCAAACCTTGATATTCCTTAGATGGTCTAATTTTCCAGGTACAGCTGGATGCTAAATGTTTGCATATTGGTATATTTTGATTTCAAATTAGGACACAGGATCATGGTGCAATTCTCTTGCAAACAGGCTTAACAATGCTGGAACCCCAAGTATGGGATGAATAGGAAACTGTATACAATACAATTGTATACATACATACCCCACATATGAAAAGTGCATATGAAATTTGTATTTATTCCAAATACAAAATGCACATGGGCAACAATTTTTAACAATGCGCCTTTCGCCAAAAAATATCCAGCCTCATTTTTAGATTTCTTGACTAGTCATGTTGCACAGAAATCTGAATGTTCTTGAGATGCAGTGGTCGTTTCAAAGGGTTGGAAGATTTTTCAGGGCTGAGCAGTAAAATCATTAAAGAAATACTTCAAGTTTAAATTATGACCAGTTAATTGAACAGTGCTTAAATTAGCTTGCAAAATCATAATATTTAGAATATAAATGGCTTTTATATCTGGGAGAAAGTGTTCAAACACTATATCCTCACCACGAGGCTGGTAAACATTACAGCCCTCAATTCTCTTTTCCTCAAGGAAATGAGAATGAAATTTCTTCAAGTCAGAGAAGCCAATGTCATAGTCTATTTATTTCAATTTCCCCACTTATGTGGCCGTATGTATTCAGGAGGCCAGGGCCTCCCGCTCTATGATCCAAAAAGCCTCTATTGCCTCCCAGCTCTCTGAGGCTTCCTCCTCTTGGCTGGGTCCCAGAAAGCAAGTTAAAAGGATTCAGTAGGGCAAAGGATAGAAGGAGATAAAGCAGCAAAAAGTAGATCCTGTTAAGCTGTATTAACTTCTCCAGGTATCATTGCAGGGTTTGGGAAGTACTGATTTCACAGCCCAGAATACCGTGACACAAACTGCTTTGCTATACTATATGTGAATTCATTATGAAAAATTATGCGGTGCTCTGAATCAGAGCCTTTGCTTCTGAAGGTCTCACCTGCCACGGCCATGGTTGCTACAGGGACTATTTAACCAAATTAAAGAGGTCCTGAAGATTCTGCAGACTTCGTGTTTTCTACAGAGTTTAACACAATTACTTGCAACTTTGGAAATTGTTCTCGTATTATTGGCTATAGGAGTGTTAAAGAAACCAGATAAAACGCTTGCTGAAATACAGTCAGCGGTCCATATACCAACAAGAACTCCCTTCTGTATAATTCATTGATTATTTGCAGGAAAATGGGAGTCCATTTTCATTATTTAGTCACCAGAAAAATATATTTGCATTATTAGAGATATCAGAGCTTTACATTCTATCGCAGTAAAGTTTTTCAATGGTAATGTCCCTATAATCCTGAGTAAATGTTGCTTGTGCACCCTATGGATCCACACATGGAGTTTATTTTATTTTTGTTGAAACGTAGCAAACAGGCAATTACTTCCTCCTCAGAAAGACAGGTTGATTTTAATTCCTAATGTCTAAAAATCATAAAATAAAAAAAACCCCATAAAATAGCTCTGGTAGTTTCAGGGTTGTATAAGCCCCTTCCCGATTTCTAAGTGCCACAGTTTTTCCTAACAATGTTTACTCTTTATTACACTTCTTTCTCTCATCCGTGCTACTGCTGTGCTACGTGCTACTGCTGGCTGAGGTGGAATCCCCAGCAATCTCTGCTGAACGATCTACCTCCTTAAAAGCCAAGCACGTTGCCTCGTCAGTACCCACAGCTCCAGAACATGAAAATGATTCCAAATTATTGCACGCAAATAAAATATGCTGCCCCTATTCCACTAAAGTGGTCTCAGAAGCTCTATTATTTTGGAAGCTGGCAAGATTTAAAGAGCTATTATCATCTTTGAACCCAAGGCTCTGGTCTTTCTGACTCAAAGTCCATGGTAATAAAACCTGTGAAGCAGAAGATAACAGCTTTGTGCTAAAACTTGGGGAAAACTTAGATGAGTTGTAGCTGCAGGGAAGGTCTGAAAAGGTGTAGTGCCAGCTGGCCTTCAGGAAGCCAACCATGTCTCTGGAAGTGAGAGAACTGAAAGGGTATCAAGGCTGCTATGACTTACAGCAAGACAAAGGATACCACATGGGAAACAGACTCCAAAAGTAACTGAGGTGGAATTGATCTGAATCCGGAAGGGAAGATAAGAAGTGTAAACATGAAAGAATTGTAATCAGGGTGCTAGGAAAAGATTTAATGAGGTGAGGACAACAGAGTTTCACAGATGAAGATACATATTTTAAGAACTTGAACTGGAATGAAGAATTGAATTTTCTCCATATTATGGAATAAGAATTGGCAACACTTTGGAACAGCCTTCATTTACAGGAGAGAGGTCAAAGGCTTAGAAGTCTAATTATTTTTTATACCGGGGAAAATCATGATTTGGAATGGACTAAGTGACTTAGCAGTGCCACACTGTGTGCCTAAGGCAGATCGCTCATTCTTCAAAAGTGAAAAATGAATATATAAATAGCCAATCTCCAAAGTACTTCTCATGATACTGCATTTTAAAAATATAGGTAGCGCATGGATCTTCACATGAAAAAATATATGCTTATGTTTCAGTGCTGCCCATGAAAAATTCACTTTACACAATCATACACTCTGTGCACAATACCTTACTTCATGGGTGTTCAAACTAAGCCAAAGCAGCCTATTTTCCAAAGGTTCTTGCTTTTGGATCAGTTCCTGTCTGACAGGACAGGACAAAAAAAGCCAAAAAAAAAAAAAGTTCTCATTATATGAAAGCACTATGCTACATGGAAAACGAGCTGCAGATTGCTGTTCCTCTCTCAGTCATCCTTACCACAATTGTACCTACCCTGTTTTAAGAAAGGCTCTGAACAGTGGCTCGAATTTGCAGATGTTCACAGGGTCTCTCCTTAGGGATGTGGTAATACAACATCAGCCATTAAGTTTTTAGAACAATTTCCACTACAGAAATGAAAGTGTTCTTATCATTCTCATTATCTAGCTAGTCAAGCATGGAATTTTAAGATAAGTAGACAGTATCACTGCAATTAATTGTACCAAGGAAAAGTAAAAATCATTAAGTAGACTAAACAGAAACACCTGTTAAAAATACCTATGTGTACATGAAAACTGAGATGAAATGGCTCTTCAGTTTTGCTCAGCAAGATTCAGCAGCTGGACGTTGAAGCTAAAGGTTCAAGGTAAGACATTAGATGTATATTTTAACAGTGAGTGACTAACTATTGGCATAGTTTACAAAGGCCGAGGCAAACTGTCAAGTCACTGAAAAGCTGTAAATCAAGTCTGGTTCCCTAAAGGTATATTCCATCTGGGAATTAATTTGGGGAACAGCAGTGGGTTTTATGGTCAGATGACCCCTTCTGGCCTTACAGTCTATGAACATATGAAAGGATATTGTTGACTTGACTGGTTCATAGTATGACTGATGCCTTAAAAATGCTTTGACTTAAGACATTCATATGTATGTGAAAAGATTATCACTCATATTTAGTGCTCATCTTAAAATAAGGGTAGTAGCTGTATTAAAACCTAATGTAAGTTGCTAACAACCTACTAAATATATCTATGAACGGTTTTTCATCTTTTCCCCTGACAGTGCTAAACACTCAGAAAGCAGCCAGACACCAGCTTTATGCAAGTGGCAGAAAATCGTACTTTCAGCACTGCAAGTGCTATTTTAAAACCCTTGTGATGAAGGCCCTCGTGCGGGAAATACTGGCAGTTTACAAGAATGATGATTGTAGTGTGAGAGGAAATGGGGAGAGCACAATATCCAGCTGCAACATATAGAAACAGAAACACACAATATGTATGGCTAGGAAACTGGAAGGCCAAAAAAATCAGTCAGTCACTAGAGGGACTGGTTGATTATTTGGCTCTGCAGTGGCTGTCATCCACCAAAACAAGGCTATCCCAAATCCATGAGAAGGAACGAGAGGCTCAACCTCACTTCTGTTTCATCAGATGCTTAAAACGTAAGGCTCAGTCAAGTGAACAGCAATGCAGAAACAGTCTGGACCGTCTCAGTGGATTAAAGAAAACTTAAAATGAAAAATCCTGCAGTGCAGTCTGCAGCTACCAGTGCTAACCAGTACAATAGTGCTTCCCCATTTATCTTATTTGTTTTACTCTTAACTGATCTTTTTCCTAAACGGAGTAGAAAAGACAAGTGTGAGAGTCTAAGGAAATAATTATGTGTGTACTCATAATATAAGAAAATTGGGATAGGAATACATTAGTTATTTCTGTACAATAAAGGGACAAGATACCTTTTCATGCAAGTCCACTGCAGAGAAATGTACATATTCATACATCTTTTGAAATATTGATCACATAATCTAGAAAGAAGTGTTGCTTTATGTGAGTCAAAGAAAAAGCTTTACAGTAAACTCATAGCTTCTATCACAGAGCTTTTCAGTCTTAACTATTACTCCATTTGAGTTTAACATAAAACCTCAACTTTAAATTTCAGATTTTTTTTAAAGTTTTTTTTTTTAAAACTGCAGGAATGTCTGAGAAAAAAAGTAGCAGTATCAGTACTAGCACTATCAATTCTGTTTCTATTAAGAAATATATTTCTATAACTGACTCCAGCTATCCAGACTTCTATCACTTAAATGCTGGATTACTGCAATATGTGCTAAATGTGGAAATTCTGAAAATCTGAGTCAATGGACAATGAAGTAATCTGCAAGCCGTGTTTCCTGTATGAAATACATCACGGATTTGCTCTGAGATTGGCAGCAGTCTTCATTTAAATCCTTTTTTAGGTATTTGTTTGAAACCATACCTTCCTAAACTGGAATACATAGGGTGAGAACTTGCCAGAAATTATAAAATCATTCCTGAGAAAAAGGTAAATAATTTTTAAATGTCTTGAATCAGGAAATAAGAGAGGGGAAAAAAAAGGAGAAATTTTTCCACAAAAAGTATATTTCACAGCAGTTTCTTTCCGAGAGAATCCTGCAGGCAGAAAGTGCCATTGACAAGAAACACCTGAAGAGGAGAAAATACCATTTGAGTTCCCTCCTTAAACATCTACAAATACTTTCCCCTTCCCACTATCCCTCCTCCCCGCTGCCTTCTGCTCTTCACTTAGTTAACGAGAGCCTTTTGCAAAAGCAGTAACAGAATTTTTTCCCATGGAAGATTTTGATGTTCTAAAAAGGACTTTTCCTCACTGGAAAATCATTCAGACAGATGGTTCCAAATCACCTCTAACGACACTTAACAACCTTTCCTCTTTGTGATAGCAGATAGCTAAAAAAGTCTTTAATGTAATTTAAGTGTTCATGCACATAACATCTTTCAGCGAATTTATTTTATCCAGGGGTAAATGACAGCACCAGGGTAAACTGCAAGTGGTCAGTCCTAGTAGGTCTACTTTAAACTGCAGGAGGAAATTAGCAAGACTGATGGCCACTGCCTAACCTGGAGTTAAGCAGAGACCAAGACACTTTGTGAAAAAGTTAGCATAGTATATCTAAAAATTGTAACCGGTTGAGGTTCAGATCGAACAATCCACCCCCAGACATTTCGCTTAGCAAAGCAGAAGGATCCCGACCCGCTGCTTTTGCAAGCCCGGCAGAAAGAACAAGTGAGAAGAGGCTGCTGAGAAAGGCGCGGACCCCGAGGTCCTGCCCGGCCCCTGCCCGCCACCGGGCGGCTGCTCTTGGCCAAGTCGCCAGGACCTTTCAGGGAGGCTCAGGGCAGTGCCTGGATGACAACCATCACCTACCATTACACCAGGCTGCAGTTTTTCAGCAATTGAGTCTATAAGATCTGATAAAGTAACAACCCAAAGTCTCATAACTGAAGAATTTTTCTCATCTGTCAGTTGTAACAGATACTTTGGCGAAAATCTTGCTTACAATGGACCCTTTATATACGGCTTTTGATATGTATTAATAAAGAATTCAGTTAGAAAGACTTGTACAGGTGGTGGACGGAGGTTGTTTATTTGGCCCTTCAGAACATACCAAGTATCACTGACTTTTTTTTTTTTC